TTTGCCACTATTGGCGTATGCTGGTCCTCACTAGTAATTGTCGATTGCACTGAATCCATCCTAGTTTTCAATATTTCTATCTCGAACAACAAATTTTCAATAGATTCTTCCAAAACAGATTGACTGGGATTTTCTTTCAAGGTATTCTGACAGGGGTTTCCAGGGGGGGGTGTAAACAGGGTGATCAGGCATTCTTTAGCTTCCTTTCCAATCATACCAAACATCGACAAACATCGTTAAGTGAAAGGGGGGCCAACACAACGGCCGTATATTTTTAAAGAATCAAAGTTTACCTTCATATTTTTGTGAAAAAAATGGCAAAAATACTTACCTTTTCTAGAAGTTTAGGTACTCATTAATAGTCAGTGTTATGGTGCATTATTTTAATTATTAAATACCATGAAATATAACATCAGACGTCTCGTACAACTCCCGAAGTTTTATGTTACGCCTCGACTGGTTTTTGCACGCGAATATTTTGATTTTCTTTTCTTTTTGTCATTATGAAAACAGAGTTTATAAATGAAATTATAATGTCGTATATCATACAACACATTCAGATTTATAAGGAAATATATTTTAGGATATTAAAGTTGTGTTTACCACAAATTAATTTATAACTTTTCAAAGCTGTGCCGGATGAAATATTATCAAGTGTATAAATATCTTCCGACTTCATTATACAAGGTGAATTACGTCGAAAATTTGATCTTGTCATTTGCTAAATCGTGAAAAGTCCTAACAACATTCAAGTTTCCCTCTAATTTAGTAAAAATACATATATTCCATATTAATGAAAATATGAATTTATAAATTTCATCAAAATTTTGCGAAATGACAGTTATTCATTGACGTTTGGAAATACAATTTTTTTTTGTCTCGACCACTCAAGATCTTAGTAAGTTCACACTGGCGCATGCGCATAATGTAGAAGACCGTCCATTGCGTGAGGTCCATTGCATAATAGCGGACGACTATGATTTCACATTTCCACATCGCGGGTGTAAGTATCCGAGTAGAATTAGTACCCTCGCACGGTGCTCCGCACCGGCTCGGGGATAAAACCTGCGTAGTATCGCTTTTTTCAGTTTATTGAGCATTTAAAGGATTTGTGAAAACAAGTAGTTCCTTTGCACATATTGTTTTTTAATAAAGATAAATTTTCCGGCCGAATTTTAAGAAAAAACAATCAGAACCGCAGCTAGAAGATTAATTGGGGGGGGGGCGGTAGCGACTGCATATTCATATATCGGTCTTATGCCGGGTGAAGCGGTTTATCTACAGCCCTTGAGACAATTCTATACCTTAATGAAGGTTCCGTGACGTGTTATGGTGATGTGGTGAAGAATGCAAACTGTCCTAGGAATCAGTACATGGTGGTCAAGATTGCCTCTTTTCGTGGATTACTCGCAACAAAGACTTGTGGTTTGAGTTTAACTGATTACAGTTGTGAACTAGATGTGACATGTCTTGTAAAGAAACAATGTGATGGTCTACATGAGTGCAGTATACGTGTGGATGAAACTTTGTTCTCGAGTAGCGGATGTCCTGGTTTGAAAACGTATCTTTATTTTGAATATCATTGTATAGATACTGTGAAAACCTTCAAAAGGCCTTGTAGTAAGTTTTTCCTTTGTCAATGACACGCTTTTAGCAAATTATGTAAAAATTCTTCAGTTCCTCTCCTCGTTCTCCCAAAAAATGGCGGAACCAAAAATGAAAGGCTATAATATATATGTGTCATAAAACATCTTATTTTTATATAATTAACAATTACTGGATGAAGTTGAGTGTGATATCGAGAATTATCAAGCGGAAGTTTGCGATAACGTAAACTGAGGTTTGATGACTTACACAGGTGCGGATCTAGGATTTTTCAAACCTTAGTCAAATTGTATGACGTCATTTATGACGTCACGTATTGCATCACGCATGACTCATTTACAGGCATATTAAAGGATGTTCGATTTTTTGTGAGTAGCCGCGCATGCGCGGCTAACCACTATGTAGCTGAAAAGTGTCCGCGTCCCTCTAAATGTCCAAATCTTCGGAAATCGTCGGATAAGTGAACAGATCACGAGTGATCACGATCCACTGTCACAATTATGAACTATTAGTGTTTGTTGACATCTTCGGTGATTGTCGGATGACCGAAACGAACTAACATGGATGCACACCACTAACAGTTGCAATTGCACGATTTCTGGAATTGGGGAACATATTTATTGATTTCGAAGTACTTTTGGCATGGGGGAACATATTTATTGATTCGTAAGTACTTTTGGCATGCTATTTATTATCCATATATAATTGTATATGATTTCCAAAGGTAACACAGCATAAGTATTAAAACTTGCTTATATCGCCCATTTCATTTGTTGATTAATTTCAAATAGTTAAATTTAAAAACGTTTGGGCTATAAAACCATAATAGATTTTAGGCCTGTGGAAATTTAAAATGGCTTTTGTATTGTAAAACAGAGTGGATATTGGTACACCCTGCATAATTAATACTTTGTATATATTTAATGACTTTAATTGTACATACATGGAAATGTTAATTTGCACACATTTGTATTTTTTGAATATGAAATATTTATAGTCCATTTGCTTCAAAAGGATCAAAATATTAAATGCTAAATTATGCTTACTGTAAACACTAAAATTGAGCAAAGGAATTATGCTTAAATTCACAAACAGCGCTAGCAGTGGAGGGATACAAACAGAACATATTGATTTATAACAAGATCTCAAGGTTTAGTTTCTTTATACTATTTGGATGAAACTGGCAAAGGTTATGCTTCAGTTTTTAATGAAACTGGCAAAAGTTATGCTTCAGTTTCACCGTGGTTTCACGAAAAATGTAACACATGCAGCGAAAATGTGTCAGCACCCCTTAAGTAACTACTGGTGAAAGATGGAAGGGAATGGCTGAGATATCTAAAATGCAGGGGACTTGATAGATCAGGTTGTATAGAAAAATAGCAATCAAAGACCAATATAGTCATTGCAACAAGTCCCATTCCCAAAATTCCATGTTTAGACATAAAATTAATAAAAAAAATTTTACTCAATTTAGTTTAAACTCACAGACAATGTGTATATCGTAGAAACATATGTGTATGTAAACTACTGATAATATATTCAAATCAAGACCTAACATATATATATATATATATATAAGTTCAAAGTCATATAAGATTTTTTAATTAAATGATATGAAATATATACATTTTGTCAAATAACAAGCGTCAATTGTCACTAGGAAGCTTTAACATAATTTAACAGAACTTTATACTTTTTTTTGTTTCAGTTTATTTTATGTAACTGTGCAGTTCCTATAAACATAACTTTTAGGATAGTTAAATGATTTTCTTCTGGATAGTGTCATAAACAATGTCCAGTTCATCAATGTCTGCTATCAATTGATTGATAAGATTTTCTGGTGTCATTTGATCTAGCGAGTCATCTGTGGAACATCTAGCTATGAGCTGATGCACAATGATGTTGAAGGCTGTCAAATTGAATTCGTACAGGAACAATAACATCCGATATGCTAGCTAATAAATAATTAAGGGGCATAAAAAAGAAGTACTTTGAAAATGTTAAAAAAATCTTTCTGTCCTTCCAAACTAAGCTTTATGTTATCAGACGATTTGTACCACCACTCTGAAACCTTACTCTCTTTTTTGTTCTGTCCACCTATTCTGTTTTTTAAAAATCATTCATTTCCTATCTTTTGTAAATATGTTTTTATATATGTTATTATTCTGTCGTTAAAAATGTATTTAAATTAATACAATAAAAAAAATTAAATATATTGTGCAAAAAAATCGATTTCGTGAATTTGACTGGCTAACATATGGCATTAGAAAGTAAAATTATAAGCATTAGTTTATATTGACTCGCCACTATAGCAGCCTGTAGTTTGACATTGAATCAGACTTGAATTTTTTTGCCAAACCATAGCTTCATCGCAGCCAATGATTTGCAAATGTTTTAGAGGCTACCCACATGTACGCATTGCGTACCTATTTTTAAATGATAGTCTTGAGACTACCAGCTGAACTGCTTCGCCCCATATTAGGGCTCTCAGCATGCCTAGGATACACTTTTAAAAATATACGCTAATAATTGTTTTTGAGATGACATTGAGGGGAGAATCTACTTATTCCCAAAGTGTTCCTTAGTCCCTACTTTGAGTAGCCCCAACTTTGAGTATTATTGTTACCTACTAGTACTAGGGCCGAAGCTGAAGCATCAGAACTTAGGAGAAGTAGGAAAACAATCAAAACAGAAAATTAAAATCACGCTAGATCAAGTATCTCACAATTATACGCGGACTGACGGCAGAGTAACAATGTCAACATCATGATGTATATTCACTGATAAGTTTCATATTATGAACGTATCTATACATGTGATATACATCAGGAATACGAATAATAATAAGTAACTAAAAGTGAACATGCTAAGTTTGTGTCTTTCATATCATATTTAAGTTATGTATTCATATATAGCAACCTTTGACCCGGCCAGCGCAGACATATGTAAATTTATATTTGAATACATAAAGAACTAGCCATGCTTGTTGTTTTTCGACAATCATTTTGCCGATTTGAGATCTAAAAACACAGTTATATAGAAGCGTAGCATAGAATAAACAAAATATAGTTAGATTATTGCAGTACAAGCCTTTTTCTTGCCATTACGAGCGTGATTCGGCACATATAACTCCACACAAAAATTTGAGGTTAGCCTTGAGCGTGTCGCCTTCATAAATACAAAGATCGAAACGTCGCATAAATATCGCGTCATTTAGACACTCTAAATCGTTCGAATGGCTCGTACAAATCACTACAAGACGATGAAGACATTGTAAAATAACGCAATAACAAAGCGAACGCGAAAAAGCAGAAGATAACTTCGAAATTTAATCCTTCCATGCTCAGAGCGATTGAAAAGGCATGCTTCCACTCTTTGCCTAGTCTTTGCCTAACATGACTAACACAGGCATGCTTACGAAGCACAGTGATTGGTTTAACTCGCCAAAGATAGGCAAAATCTGCAAGCCAATGAAAGAAAAGAATTTAAAAAAATTACCCAATCATAAGGCTTCCTGATTACGTCAAGTTAGGCAAATTCATCTTGGTTAGGCAAAAAAGCTTTTAGCCAATCAAAAGGCTGTATCGGCCGCCAGGCATAGGCAAAATAGCTGCCTCTCATTGGCTTGCTTCATGGCTTGCCTAAATACCAATGAGCTGTATATCAATAAATAACTGGGCTGTGATATGAAAATATGAATAATTATGTAATGAACTGCATGTTTCCACTTATGAATGAATACTTTGGGAATTGGGAACTGGGAATTTTGTAATTATTATCTGGATAATTTACCATAGTCACTTGACTATGTTGCCTACCCCTAGATCCGCGCCTGGATTCTTGATATCATGCGAAAACTGAATTCAATGATTTTTTTATGATGTATCTCCTTTTTAGAGAAGAATTCTTCGCCATTATTGACAAAAAACTATAGCGGCAAAAAAATAAGTCAGCTGTGGATAATTTTCAATATCGTGTAGGTGGCAAGACATTGAGAATTATCTGTAGGTTTTCAAACACAATCAAGATTGCATTTGTAATGCATAATAATGTATAATTATTGTGTCAGACCAGTATTTTCCTTCATATTTTAAAAAGAACAAGACAAAAAAGAGTAAAAATCCTTTTCTTTGAATCTACAAGATCTGGGTACTCAATTTTCCAACTGTTGTATCTCTCAATTCGATCACGCCTTTTAAACTTTAATCTGTTTCGGCTTTGGAGTCTATGTGAGCCTATATTTTTGTTCGTTGCTGCTTTGGCAGTGCTTGAGCGCTGCATGTTAGTCCTTTATTTCGTAACCGGTTTTTCTTGCATCGGAGTATTTTTAAAGATTTATTTCTCTTCGGTTTGCTTACAGATCGTTTAAAACTTTTGTATTTTATGTTTCCCAACATTAGCTGTTCTGTGCTTTCAAAGTAAATATCTTTATTTTTTTTGGTGTGATTGTCCGTATAATACTCACCAATTTTCTATTTTGTTTTTCCTTATAGTTCATGATGTGACCTTATCACATTCATCTCTACCTTTCAAAGGTGTTGTCCAAATTAGCACTGACAGTGGAACAATGGATGTTTGCTGGAAGAGTTTAAAGAAGTACCCAGATGCGCGTATCCTATGTCGTAGTCTTGGTTACGACGAGCTAAATTCATTTGTTAATTTGTCTGTCCCAGCAGATTCCAAAGATGCTGTTTTTTCAGGAACATTTACCTGTAGTGATCAAGAAAAATCTTTATCCCAGTGTTTGATTGTTGCTTCCAACCAGACCTGTTCCGAACTAACATACATCGAATGTAGTTTTCATGATTGTAAGAGGAATGCTTTTGAATTAACACAGAGTTAGAAAAAGAATAAAAAAATATGTACAGACATTGACAGATGCATGTCACGAACATTTAATTACACAAAGTTCTGTTTCAGACGTCGAAGTTTTCATGTGCCGAACCTAATGTTAATTAAAAACCTGAAGTCTTTTTTTAAATTCATTTGCACCAGTTTTTCGGCACATGTTCGGCGTCTGAAACGGGCGAAAGGCTCAAAAAAGTGCCTTAACTGATACAATTGTTAATTAAGATATGCAACACTAAGATTCTATGTTCCCATTTCAGATCATATCTTCTGGGAGAACTTCAGTCCATTGTTAGCTACAGATAAAAAAAGATTTCCTGATTCATCATTTTCTGCCACTGCTTCGGTAAAAGGTCACAATCCTTTCGATGCAAGGATATCTAGCGGAAGTTCCTGGTGTGCTCCTGTTTCGGATGCAAAGCATTATCTTCAGGTGGACCTGGGAACGGTGTATTGGTTATTTCATGTGATAACGTATGGTGATAGCACTAGTCCAAAATGGGTCGCCACATGCAACTTAAATTATAGCTCTGATTTGGTCAGCTGGAAAGCGTATAGGTCCAGGGTAAGTAGTAATACTGTTATTATTATTATTATTATTATTATTATTATTATTATTATTATTATTATTATTAACTAGAATACATGAAGAAGACAGAAATAGCTGTCTTAATTGCCATGCATTTACCTAAATTATATTATATAAATAGAAAATTTAGAAAGGTTAATAATATAAAAGTTACAATGATTCACTATTACAATTTATAAGTATTAAAAAGGCATGCAAGTTAAGTTAAAATTTTTGAAAACAGTTAAGATCTTGTTAAACTATGATTATAAGAATTTATGGCATACACTAAGGGACTATTCTTAAATCTATCAGTCTTAAATTTAACATTGTAATACGTTTCAGCATTAGATCTGGTTACCCTTTGTCTTTTGTCTGTGACACGATCTGGAAGCAGGTCATGTAGACGGTGCCCAGTGGCAAATATATTTGTAATCAAGTCCACGCAGTGGATTTCACGTCTTTCGCTCAGCATTTGCATCTTGAGATAATTTAAAGCTGTGGAGTAATCAACACCTGGTAGTAATATTCTGAAGGCTCTTTTCTGGATTCTTTCAATATTAATTCTTTGAGAATTGGTCATTCCTCCATGCCACAGCACATCTCCGTATTCAAGAGTTGATCTAATTACGCTACAATAAAATTGCAAGAGATCTTGCATTGGCGCTCCATACCTTTTAAGGACCTTAAGGAAGTACAACCTCTTTCTTGTTTTCTTCACGATGTAATCAGTATTACTATTCCATTTTAAATTGTCGTCGAGCCATATTCCTAACAGTTTAAAGGACGAGACCCTTTCAACTTCTAGGTCATATAAATCGATGCTCCTAATTGTAGTTTTCTTAACACGAAAGTCAAAGATCATTTCTTTTGTTTTCTTAACATTCAACACCATTCTTTGCTCGCGACAGAACGTTGAAATCCTTTGGATATTAAATTTCATATTTCCAATTGGTTGATTCGATTTATGGTCGGTTACATTCAGTATTTCGGATAGAGTAGTGTCATCTATAAACATTGAAAATTGTTCCGTATTAGTTGAGTTATCCGTCACTGCAACATCCGGTAAACAATTGTTTTTATTATTATTATTTTAAAAGATAAGTATTCCCCGTAGGGTTTTTCAATACCTATTTACAATAAAATGACTATTTTAATACCATTTACAAGATACGAAAGCTAAAATATATAATAAGTTTATAAAATGAGGTCTTAAGATTTTGTTCACCTTTCAAAGTAATCATTTGACATGTTAAGGCCGATCTACACGATGTGATTAGTCGTATATGATTCTTATCCTGACGTATGAAAAAGATTGGTAACGTCACTCTGTGTGTTCATCAGTTTATAACGAAATTTAAAATGGGAAACCTTTACACGCATTTATTCGAATACATACGCCAGCATACGAATCGTATGCGACTAATCGCATTGTGTAGATCGGCCTTTACCCTTTAATTTTCTTTTAAATGCTGTTAGCGGGAGGTTTTTAATTCTATATCTAAATTATTCCATAACTTTACAGCTCTATATCTAAAACTTCTCTGTCCTGTTGTGGTTGAATATAGAGGGATATGTAGAGAATTATTGTTTCGTGTAACACGATCGTTTAGTTCCCTGCGTTTACGAAGTCGGTCAGCCAGATATGGAGGAGCTAAGCCGTTTATGCATTTATACATCATTACCATATCTCTGCATGTACAGTAGGTGCTCTTTGACAGGAAGCCAACCAATATCCCGTAGAATTTGTGTGATATGATCAAATTTATTTTCGTTAGTTGATTCTACACGCAAAATTCAAGGTTTGCATTGATTCAAGGTTTGCATTGATTCCACTCTGCTTTGCAGTACTTCGATATCAATACTAATATTTTCTATGCACAGGCGAAGTTCAGCTTGGTGAAGAATATTTTCCCTAGATTCGGTTGATATAGATGTACACAGGTTTACTAGGGAATCTCTAACATGTTCACGAATATTCCCGTTAATTAGCTTACCACGATACCATGTTACGGTAAATTCAGTGTCACTACAATCAAATCTTCTTGCGCTGCCACCAGGGAACCATTATTTGCCACATTGTGCTAAGGCCGATTCGACAAATTTCTTCAACGAATCATGATCATTCCACCAGGATAATCTTTTCTTGTCGTAGACTATGTTACCACAAGTAATATGGTTACATATTACATCTTTATTATATGGATGGGGGTATTTTACTGAGAACTAAAACACTCGTAGAACTCATACGTCACCACATCCGGGACCAGGTGTGCGTATTTTCCGTATGTCACGTTTAGGGGTGACATAACGAGTTTCGAAAATTTTCCCGCCATTTTCTTTGTTGTTGTGAAAATACAAATGGCCTTTGGTCCGTATATAAAACGAAATTAACGTTAGAAATACAAACAAAAACACATAAGACATCCTTAGATAAGGAAAAATTAGTCTCCTTTAATGTTTAGGTTATAATTTAAAAAATATTTGCTTTATAATGGTCTTCCGCGGCTAATTTTCTTGTCGCCTTTATCTTGTCGCCATAATTTAGTCCATATAATAAACAGAACATTACACGGTTTGCTCGAAGATATGGATTTTATGTTCAAGTGGCAAGAACAATATCTCACTCGTTCTTGCCACTCGAACATAAAATCCATATCTTCGAGCAACCGTGTAATATCCTCTATATATCGCAATCGATCATACAATCTTTACCAAATTCAACAGAGCTATTTTGCACACAACTATCTGCCGCCATGTTAACTAGTATAATCAAATCTTTTGTTAGGTCAACAAAATACTTATTAATTATTTCAGCCGCATCTTCTGATGTTAAAGGTTGTCCATTTTCTTGATTAGAGAGAGAAATATTTTTGTTGTTTTTCGAATAACAAACCTTTTTAATCGCTTTCCATCACAATTTAGAATCACTGCTTCTTAGTGGTTTTATTTTCTTATTATAGAGCATTCTTTTCTGCTTCTTAATTTCATTAGTGACCTTGTTGCGTAGTACCCTATATTGTTCTTTATCAATGTTGCGGAATGCTCTATTTCGCTGTATAATTAAGTTTTTAATTTTCCCAGTGATAAATGGCTTGTCGTCTACATGAAACTTTACAGTACGCTTCGGAAAATAGTGTTCAATTTCATCTTGAATAATGTGAGTAAAATGTTGCAATTTCTCATTCGATGAATAGCTGTACGTAATAGACTCCCATTGGTATGTTTTTAACCAGTCACCAAAACTTTCAAGACTGGATTTTTTAATTGGGCGGACTTCAACTTTTTTAGTGACATTCCTTGACTTTTCAATACCCTTCGATTTCCAAAGTACCAGCAAGTGATATGAGTTATCTAAAGGCGCATGTGTGGTTGGTGGGTAATAGTACTTTTAAATCCCAGGAAGACCGAATCAATGCTATTTGGCACCGCAAAGAACCTCGCCAAAATATCGAAAACTTTGAATATTACTTATGGAAATAAGCCCATCAGTTCCACTACAAGTTACCAGTATCTAGGCGTTCATATTGATTACTCGCTAAATTTAAGATATATTGGTGAATATTAGATCCAAGACGTGTTCTTTCCTCGTTGGTACCTGCACGACTTGTTTAAGACCGCATTGTAATTCCACATGTGTAGGTCGAAAGTTATTACTGTTAGGGTTAAAATCTCCAGTGATTATAAAAGCAGTTTCAGTGCTCTCCAAAATAAGCGTATCAATGCAGCAACATAAATAATCATAAAATTCTTCGATCTCATAATTTGTAACTGACGGGGGTAAATAAATTATTAACAATAAGGTAATGTTATATAGCCTGTCGAGGAAATCCTGTTTCCTTTTTCTTTCCAGCAGATATTTCAAGGAAATAAAAATGCTTAGCATCATGCAGCTATTGCTGTGAGAGATTTTTTCCACTTTGGACCTTTACTTGGTACAAGAGGTTTACGATTTATTCCCTTAGCATATGTTGGTAAGCCATGCATGAGAGTTGAGACTACTGGATACGGTAAGTTATTAAACAGGGGTGCACATTGATCGTGTCATATGTTTTGTTTGTAAATCATTCCTAATGCACTTTATGAATTCCTACTGTCAGAAAATTGCCCATAGACAGAAATGGACTATTTAAGTTTTTGCATGGCACATTTAAAAGTTTATCTCGTACTTTTTTTTCCAAGCTTTACTGCCACACAAACCAGAAAATTTAACAGCCAATAACATCACGTCCCGAAGTGTTGATGTATCTTGGCTAGATCCTGAAAATCCTAATGATAGAGGTTCATGGAGGCGACGTGTTTCTCGATTTTTCATTGTTCTCACGAAAGATAACTCGCCTATTCTAAACATCACCACGAATAAATCTGTTCATAAATATGAAATAGACAATCTTATTCCGTTCACTACGTATGAAATATCTGTTTCTGCGGGTAATTACAATGGTTACGGTAGAAAGGCAATCATTCTGTTTTCAACATCCGGAGAAGGTATGTATTGGATGATAGATAACCTATGTACTGCATGGATGTTAAATAGACTACTGACTTTAGATATAAATAAAATCAACGATTATGTGAACGTTTCATAATGTTTTGCAAAATGACAAGTTACGTTACTTGTCATGTTACGCGCACAAAATATTTTCTCTTTTGAACCCATTCCGTAATCGCCACCCTTTCACTTCAGACTAGTCCCTAGTCCTCCTTACCGCGCCTTGCATTCTTGTGACGTCACCGATTTGAAAGCGCTGGAGAGGACTAGCACATGGTGCTTTTTTAATGCTATATCAAAATGACGGCAAGAAAATTTTTCTCAAGCATTACTGATCTCAAAATATTTGCATCAGGGGCAAAATCAGGGACGGTATTTGAAATCTCAAAATTTGTCCTAGCCCGTTAGGCGTGTGCTTCCCCTGCATGATTAACAATGCGCGCTTACAAGGCGTGGGACTAGGCTGCTTCAACTTACAAAATAAATCCCTCGGGCAGAACTGAGTATACTAGAAATACATGCATGCATGCAGCAACCCCTCGCTATTTTAAACCAAGTACACAATTTCCTGAGTTAACATGACCTAAACTTATATTATGAAGTGACACAAAACTCAAATCAGTCTTATTATATTTATCGAGCAAATTATAGCTAATGTTTCCATCATTCAATACATAAATAATCATAAAGCTGGTGTAAACATTGCCCGTTCAATTTTGCTGCATTATACCATGCCAGCAAATAAGTAACGGTTTAAAATCGAAGTTTCAAACGATTAAAACGGTACAAAATCTTCACAGACAAAGAAAAAATC